AGAATCCTCGGACTTACAGTTCTGAGCTGTGGAGGCCTCCAAATGTTGTGATAACTGCCACTCCGGAGATCTCTTTAGTCTTTTGTAAATTTTTTTAGTTCCCTCTATAGTACTAAGGTATCCTACCGTGAGGAATACTTATTGTCATTTCTTACTTCTAATCAATTGCCGTCTTTGTCCGACTCAGCGAGAGAAGCACTGGAAATGCAATTGACTTTGGTAGAGTTGCAACTTGCAGCTGTTGGTATGTCTAACAATAGGGCCCCGGGGCTTGATGGCCTTCCTAGTAAGATGTATAAAACCTAGGGAGATTTCCTTTTATCAGAACTTTTGGAGGTATTTAATAATGCTTTTGAAATTGGGACCTTGCCTCTATCTATGAATGAGGCTGTCATTGTAGTGATACCCAACCAGGCAAGGACCCCGGTATTCCGGATTATCGCCCGATATCGTTGCTTAATTCAGACGTTAGGCTTCTGGCTAAAATGTTGGTCGTCTGTTTATCGAATGTTATCTCAATGATAGTTCATCCCAACCAGGGCAACATCTATTAATATTAGACGATTGTTTTTGAACTTGCAAATCCCAACAAGTAACAATGGTAATAGAGCTGTATTGTTGCTCGATGCAGCTAAAGCATTCAATAGTATAGAATGTAGTTTTCTATGGCATGGTCTTCGGCCAACAGCTATAATACAAATTAATGGGCATGTTTCAGACTCAGTTTCATTATACAGCGGTACGAGACAGGGATGCCCCTTATCACCCCTCCTTTTTGCGACGGCGTTGGAACCCTTAGCGGCAGCAATCCGTCAGTCCTCTAATATTATAGGATTTAAACTGTCTACAGGAGAGGACAAAATAGCATTATATGCTGATGACACTATTGTTTTTGGGGGATACCCCCTCCTCATTAATAGCAGTAATGTCCCTTATAAATACATATGGTTCGTTCTCAGGGTTTAAAATTAATTGGGACAAGTCAGTTCTTTTGTCGTTTGATCCCCTTCCATCAGATCTGCCACCAATTGCTCAGCAGATATCGGTGGTGTCCTCCTTCAAACATTTGGGAGTTTTGGTCAAAACTCAGGTATCTGATTATGTGGAACATAACTTGACAACCTTACTACATAGGTTAAAACAGATGGGCGGAACGTGGTGTAAATTGCCTTTAACGGTCATTGGTAGAGCTGATTTAGTTAAGATAGATTGGATGCCTCAGCTCCTCTGTATCTTACATAATTGTCCAGTATGGCTTCTGCAGATCTTTTTTCGATAAATTGATTCCCTTTTTAGGGATCTTATTTGGAAACAGACATTCCAGAATACGGCTCTCCACATTACAATTGCCTAAGGATGGGGGAGGTCTGGCTGTTCCTAATGCCAGATTATATTTTATAGCATCACAGATGCAACACTGGTATGGCTGGAATAAGCTGGATATCTCTCTTCAGTGTATTATAATCTCTCAGTTTATTAAGGTACCACTGGTACAACTGTTAGTTTCTCATTGTTTTCATCAAAAGCCTTCTTTCCCTACTTTTAATTTAATTCATAAGGTATGGGGCTATGTCCGCACTTTAACCATGCATGAGGGATACACTCAATATATTGCCTATTTGGAATAACCCCCAGTTGTCGGAAGTGGTGAAGATTGAGGGTTTTGATATTTGGAAAAGGTCTGGCCTTCGATTTCTCCACCAATTGTATAATCGGATGTGCTCTTACCCTTTAGTGAGTTGGTGAAGCGCTATCATATTCCTCATAGTCTTTTTTTTAATATCTCCAATTACGCCACACATTGAATTGTCAGGCTGCTACGGTCATATTTAAATATAACCCTTCCATACCATTGACTATGGCAGTGTCCACGTCTTGCCCTAAAAGAGGTGTCATAGGAGATCTAAACTCCACTTTGCAGTCGTCTATTTTGGCTCGCTCTCAGGTGCAGAGTTTAGGACAGTGGCGGCAGGATTTGGAAATAATAGAGAAAGAGGAATGGACTCAGGCTTTGAAGTCCCTCTCGCAGGTTTCTTTATCTCCATCACAACGCCTGACTCAACTGTTTATAATTCATAGAGTGCATTACACCCCACAAAAGCTTTACGCCTGGGGAAGATTAGCTTCACCGTTGTGTTCTAGATGTCACTTAGATACTGACACACTTATTCATATACTATGGCGTTGTCCTAAGCTTCACCGATACTGGTCCTCTATATTTAATACCCTTAACTGGATCTGTTCCATGCGAGTGCAGCTTGATCCCAAAGTTGCGCTATTGGGTACAATTTCTGGGGATATCCTTCCTGTAGAGATGCACTTGTTATGGATTAGATCTCTGTATATAGCCCATAAACTTATCCTTCAAAAATGGATTTCCCATTTGCCACCAACTTAAGGTCATTGGCGTAACATTATAAATGCTACTTTGAGAAGAGAGGAGTTGACTTATAAGCATAGAAATTTCCCTAAAAAAATTTAGGAAAATATGGTTGCTGTGGCTGGAGTCTAGTGATTCAACATTTTCATCACTATCCATGGGGACGGATGAGGGTTAGATTTCTGCTGAGGTGGGTGCAATGTTGCTGCTGTTGAAGGATCCTTAGGATATGATGTGCTAGGACACAGGTTTTATTGGTGATTCTGCCCATACTGGTTCTGAGTATTTTATATGTGGTACTGCGATTTTGCACGATCTCTATATATGACAAAAAAAGTTTATTTTGTTTTTTTTGTTTACATGGCCTATAACCTCAGGTATTTTTTTTTCCTCCTTTTGTTGTTCAGACTGTCCTTATGACGATCGTCTGGGCGTTTGCCAGTGCTGACATATTGTTGTTCCATGTTATAGTTATGTTTCTCGATACGTTGTATGACTTGCAAAAATACCTCAATAAAAATTACTTGATTAAAAACAAACAAAAAAAACAAATATATGAAATGCCGGTTATTGGCAGTTCTCTGCTCACCTATTTAGAGGTACTCAAAACCTGTATCGCAGAGCAGAAGAGGTTAGCCTTTTTGTGACCAGTCATGGTCGGAAAAAGGAGCCCAGAACATCTAAGGATTGCTGTGTTGTATAACAGAGGAAAGGCAGGGAGCAGCAACATCAGCAAGCTGTGTGCGAATGTAGACAAATGTGCAGTGAGTTTGCTTGAGACACAGTGTTGGCCTCTTGCAGGATACACAGAAAAAGAAAACTGGCACTAACTTTGAATATTAAAAGCGACAACAGGCTACTCCCACTACAAGCTCTGAAATAGTTTCAGCCTGGTGCTCAATATTAACCCGTCAGCCCTGACCTACCATGACAGTCTTGCAGTGAGAATGGATAATAGGGACTAATCCCATCCAAGTCTTCGCCAACACAGTGGGCATATCCCCCGAGGTGTTCAGGAACAGAAGTACACCAGCAGATGGACAATATGTGCCTAGTGTAGCACCAATGCAGGTTCAGTGCCCAAAGCAACATTACAGGTTAGCCCTATATCTGGTTCCCGATGGGGTTGGGTCCATTCCCCAAGGCGCAGCCAACTGATCTGGAAAGTTGCAAGGTGGTAGAAGTGGCTATGCAGCAGCAAGTAAACTTGCTAGAAGAGTCTTAATAAAAAAATACCAAAGTTGCCAGCCAACTCTACTTCAGAATGTACCATTACCAAGTAATAAAGGATGCAGGTACAGGACTTAAACTATTCTTGTAGCTGTAGAATCTCTAACACAGAAAATACTATGAAATATATCTGCACACTCAATTCAGAAAGCATTTAGCAAAGATAAGGATCTGTTTTTTCAGGCATGTGTCAAAGTTTTTATTCTCGCCTTTTTGAAATTGAGGATCCTTACCCTGGTGTGTTTTATGAACTAGGCTTATTTTATTCATTAAAGTGACCAAAAATATGTAATTGATAGTGCTATGCGGTAAAATATAAAAAACTCAAGTGAGATTTATTGTACTTTAAATAAGAACATGGAAACCCTAATCAGCCCTTCACAAAATCAAGGAACATGAAATTATATTAAAAGTGTTCTACAGTATAACACTAAAAAAAATTGTAACTGAATATATATATATAAACAGACCTGCAAAGTGGCACAACTTTACAGGTGAAGAAATGCTCACCTTTCCAGAGGTCAGTTTGGAAATCTCTGAAATGTGAAACATCACTGTCCAGTCCAGCTTATTACAAATTAGGTTCACAAAGAAACCCTGTGTTTCATGCACTTCACACTAGTTTGCTGTTCTAAGATGCCTAATAGTGGCTTATTTTGTTAGCATTACCACTTGGAGATCCAATTCTTGCACTCTTGAATGAATAAATGTACAGAGAAAAGTCAATCTGAAAGGAAGACTAAACAGAACGTGCCTTTTTTGTAACACAGGAAAACAGAGGTGGATTTGTTAAAAGGTCTAAAAAGGTCTTGTTTCATGAAAGAGTAATTATTTTACTACAAACCTATTTTTCTTAATAAATACATATTTGCAACCCCCTTTTCCCCAGTAAAAGCATAAATTCAGCACCCCTCCTTTGTATTTAGAACTAGCATATTGAACTATGCTGTTTAAAATGGTTTAACAACTTAACCGGTATTGCAAAATCTACAAGGACAGTTAAACTTATCCATTGTGTTAGACAACTGGGTGTAACATATTTTCTGCTGTAACATATGAACGATGTTAGTCAATCTGAAATTCAGGTTGGAGGAATCTTCAATGTCCAGAGAATTGTACACAAAAATCCAAATGTGCTCTTGTATGTCCCCAGCTCTGAATTGTACTAGAAGCACAACTGTCCAGTGCTAAAATGATTCCGTTAAGTGCATAAGTGAAACACAGTCCACATTACCTCAGATGAGGCTATATAGAAAACCTGGCTGGATTTTCATGGATCCATACTTTCTTACGACAGTCACCTCTATCAAAGCAACTGAGAAATCACAATCCAAAATGACAAAAGGCTTCTTCTCACGCTATTGTTCTGAGCTAATAAAAACGGTGTTTTCTATGATCGAGCCAACTTGGATTCGTGAGCTCTTAATGTTCCGACAGCATCTTTCACTGCATGATAAATAATATTTTTCACCTAGAACAAAAGTGAAAAAAGTGAAAAATAAAATTAAAAAAAAAAAAAACCCACTACATTATAAGCATCACGGACTGATCAATGGAATTCAAACATTATTCATTTTTAGGCCATGTCTTGTCTACTCCTTTTTCTATGTCGTTCTTCTGATCTACAGCCAGTGAAATAAACAAATATTGGCAGACTCCTTTTCCCTGATGTCGTGAGGGTTCTGCAATATGTGAAGCATGTGAAACACAGTCTGTCCTTTTCACTTAGAATAAAACAGTGTACGTAGGTTAGGTATCTTGCATCTATTTCCATGCACTTACCAACTGGTAAATAGCAAAAGAAAATATCCTAGAATCCCCGTGAGGTAACTGGACTTCAGTAAAACAGGGGAAGGTCTACGCAGGCTGGCTA